ATCCCAAAGACCAAAAAAAAAAAAGAAAGAAAGAAAGAAAAAAAGCAGATTCACATTCCAGTTGAGTGCCTAGACTTCTGCTCTTACTGGTTTTTTGGCTAGGAAAACAGTAACCGAATAGTTTGGGCACCTATATACCAGAGGAACCTCTGATAAATTAAAAGTCACCTTGGCAGAAAGCAAGGTTCTGAATGCTGGTGGTGTAACAAAAGGTCCTTTGTAGCATAAATCACACAGAACGGAGGTTTGAAGTAGGAGTTTCTGAATTGCCTGGAGAGCCAGCGCAGGGACAGAGCAGGAACATCCTTTCTCACGTACCGACACAGCATATTCCTTTCCTAACGGACTGTAGAGCAAAGTATAGTGAGAAGAGCATGGCTCTGAGCTCTGAGAGCCCAGGGTTCAAGTCTGAGTCCTCTACTTAACCAGTGCGTGGCCTTGGGCAAGTTACGTACTCTCTCTGAAACCCATCTATACAGTAGAGATAAGAACACCTACCACCCAGAGCTGTCAGGATGGGATAAGGTCACCCATCCTGTTTCTGCTCCTTTCCCTACCTGCCTGGAAAATCTCAAATTCTAAGTTGTGGAAAAGGGTGTATTTATTACATCCATCATAGTTCTATAGAGTCCTCTCTCTCAGAGATTTAAGCAGCTCTCTTTTTTAAACGGAAGAAAATATTTTATTTTTGCTAAGCAGAGAAAGAAATGTTCAGGGCCAGGTCCAGTGAAAACCTGGGAAAACTGTGAAGATGCAGGCACCTGGCTGGAATTCCCCTGGGGTCTCCTCTTGGTCCACTATCGCCACTGCCGTATCCAGAGCATGCTCCCCTAAACATCTGAAAAGAGATTTGGCAGAGCGGGGGAGCCGCGGAGAAGAGAAAAGGCAGGTCCTCAGAAAATCAAGGTTTCGTGTCTCTTCCCCACCCCCCGGCCCCGCCCCCGAGAGGGACAGAATCAGGTGTGTGAGACTTCCTCGGAACCATCTGATCTGCTTGTCAGGAATGTGTTTCCAGAAAGACAGGCCTGTTCTTAGGGTAGTGGAGCCCTCTTCTTCAGAGTGTGATAAGTTAGGCACAAAACTAAGAATAGCAGCACAACCCTTGTCAGGTTTCCCAGCCACAAAATTCTCAACACTCCTTAGCTTCACAAAAATGTTGAGAAGTAACCTCTTTGCTAGAAGCGCACACTATTTCGGCAAGAAAATGGAAGCGATCAGAGACCTGTTCCAAGGCACAACCTTACACCTACCAACCCACCTCCTTCTCTCCTGTGGCTGTCATGACGTGGCCTTGCTCCTGCCCGTGGCCTGTGTCTCCATCTGGGCACTATCCCGTCCCCTCAGCCCTACCTAAGGATGTTTTCTCCAGCAATTCACCCCCATCCCCTGCACCTTCAAGTCTCCCCTCTCTACAGAATCATTCCCTCCAACATACAAACATGCTATTAAGCCGGCCATCTTAAAAAAAATAACCCACTTCCTCTTCTAGTTATACCCTATTTTTCTCCATCCCTTTAGAGAAAAGACCCTGGAAACTGGTATCTCTTCTTGCACACTCCAGTTGCTTCTCTCTCCCTCTCGCCTAAACCCACTCAAGGCAGGTTTGAGCCCCACCCCTCCCCTGACATTGCTCAAGGCCACCAATGAGCTACAGGATGGCTAAATCTAATGTAACCTCTCAGACCTCATCTTGATTGACCTACAAGCAGCCTTTGACCAAGGCAATGCCCCTTTCCTCCTGGAAACACTTTCTTCTCCTGGCTTCCAGATTCTCTGGGTGTTCCTCCTACCTTACTGGTCAGGGTCTTCTTCATCTCTCCAAACTAAATATTGGACTTCCCCAGAACTCAGTGCTTTTTAATTACATTTACTCTCTTGGTAAATGTTTCCGGTTTTATAGTTTTAAGTACCATCTCTGTGCTGATGACTCCCAAAATTGTATGTCCCACAGGAACAGAGATTTCTCTGTTTTTTTCACCACGTTATCCCAGCAATTAGATCAGTGCCTGGCACATGGTATCTGTTGAAAGTTTGAATGAATGGATTTTATTAATTGAATGTATTTGAATAGCCAAAGAAATGGTCATCAAATTTTTTAAAAGGTGTTTGGGGAAAAGGTGGCAGAATTCTAGTGATCTGGAGTATTTAAATTCATACCAGAGATATCACCCAGTAGAAACTGTGCCCATGGTCACTGAGAGTGAGATAATCAGAGATAGCATTTTCTTAGCTGCATGCTGTTGGCAGGTCTCCAGCCAGAGAGCTTCCTGCTGCCAATGAAGAACCAGCTTTATGGTTCTAACATTAAGAATAAAATTGTGATGGTCACATTTACCAAGCAAGGACTCCTGGGCAGAGTGGCATCATTCCTTCATGATTTATAATATCAAAACGATGAAATAACATCTCGGGGCAGTGAGGAAAGGCACCACGTTATGATCTTGGTTATGGATATGGATGGGAAAATTTCTTCCGTCAAGTTTGTGACCCAGTCACATTTCTGAGACTCAGAAATGTGAACTGAATTAGACTGAATGTTTCTTTTGTATGAGTGAAATGTGGCCTCCTTTTTTTTTTTTAATGAAGGAAGTTGACTTCAAGAACCAGATACGAGAGATTTATGGGTAATAAATATGATGTAGCAACTGAAGTTACAAAGAAATTCAAGAAGTTTTTTCTTGAAAATATTCATTAAATAACTAGCTTGTGATGTTAGGTAAGTATCTTGGCTTTTGGGAACTATGGTATCTGCATAAGGTATGGTCATTAAGGTCAATTTCTACTCCTTGGACATGATATCATCTAACCCTTTTTCCTATTAAATAAGACAAGATTTGTCCTCTATAGTTCATCATTTGCTTATGAGGATCAAATGAGATAATATTTCTGAAAGCACTTGGTAAACTAAAACACTTTGGCCGTGTAGAGCTTTTATTATTACTATTCCCTATTAGTTTGATAAGCTGTGTTCAGAATGTTATTGTCCCCAAAATATTTTTATGAAAAGAGAAAACCAGTGAAGAGCGAATTTGACTATGTTAATACATAAAGTACTTGGATAATTGTCCTTTGAGTTCTTTTAAAGGAAAGTAATTTTTTTAAAAGCAATATCAGTTATGATTATTTTCGTTGTATGTGACAGATGACATAACTCAAATCAGTCCATGTAAAAACTTGAATGAAAAGTGGAGAGTCTGAGGAGTATCAGCTTCAGGTGTGGCTTGATCAGGCTTACATGATGTCACTATAGACTGATTACTAACCTCTTTTCACATCATCTTCCACCATACCAGGTCTAACCTCAAGCCTTACGTAGTCATAAAGTGTCTTCCAGCAGTTCCCAAGGCTTCATCCTTCCAAGTTTGAATTCAACAGGAAATAGCAAAGCCTTTGTACATCCTGTATTAGAAAGTATCCAGTGATTCACACATAAACATCCTGAACCAATTTCTGTGATCAGGAGAAAAACAGTATGTTGATTGATTTAGGCCTGGATATAAGCTCTATCCTAAGGCCAGGAGTGGAGCTCTGTTTAGTCCTTCTGGACCAGAAGAGAGTAGAAGTAGATCCCCCAACCAAAATTGGCCCATTGACCCAGGAACAGAGGGTCATTGCTGAGGAGGCAGGCCATGTGTAGACATTTCCTAAGAAAGATATAGGCATCACGTCTTGCCATTGCTGCTGTACCCTCTCTCCAGTTGCCAAGAGAGCAGCACATCCTTTTACTGAGCCAACGAGCAGGCTGTAGGGAGATCATGTTAACTTTTGTTAATAGAAAGCTCTGAGTTTGCCGAGTAGAACCAAATCTCCTTCAAGAACCTGTGCAGTCAGCTGTGTTTATCTTGTCCTCGCTTTCAGGTAAAGCTGCCTGGAACAGATAGGCCAAGCCACTAACAGCCATAAAAAGTGCTGTATCATTCACAAGTTTCGGTGTGGACGTTTTCCGGGGCTCAGGCATCCCTCTTGCACAGTTCAAGGGGGAGAACTCAGCCTATCTTCCTAGAGCAAATTAAACACAACTTTGTGGATTTGGTGGTTAGCTGCCAATGAGAAGACTGATCCCTGAATTAATAGTTCATGACAGGATGACTCCGGAGTTCTTGGCTGAAAGCAGGGTTTCCAATACTAATGCTCCTTATGGCAAGAAAAGGCATCTCCGCTAAGTGGTCCACAGTCACGGGTAGTATTTGCATGAAGGCTCAGCTCTATTATTTTATTCAACTCTAAGATTCCCAAGATGAAGGAGACAGTTGATACTCAGCATGAATATGGTAATGTAGCTGAGCCGCTACAAACCCTGTAAACAGTTTAACTGCGGAGGATGTACCATCAACGTGACAGGTTTTCACATGAGATTCCACTCTCCTATGAATATGAATTTCCCTCTGTGGCATATGAGAATGGAATCTTATAATGGAAGCCCTGCTACAAGGAGATTTGGTTAAGCTGTCAGACAGTTAAATAAATGGTCTCTTACAATTTGTTTATACCTCTACTGAGCACATTTCAATAAAGAAGAAAAATTTTCACTGCCTAAAGGGAGATAGGAAAGAGATTTCTGAGTCTATGTTGGTGGCTGACCTTTATCTCATTTCAGGAACTTAATTTTTCTTTTTTTCTTTTTTCTTTTTTTTTTTTTTTGTGGTACCCGGGCCTCTCACTGTTGTGGCCTCTCTCGTTGCGGAGCACAGGCTCCGGACGCGCAGGCTCAGCGGCCATGGGCCCAGCCGCTCTGCAGCATGTGGGATCCTCCCGGACTGGGGCACGAACCCGTGTCCCCTGCATCGGCAGGCAGACTCTCAACCACTGCACCACCAGGGAAGCCCAGGAACTTAATTTTTCTGAACATTGAGGAGAGAACAGTAAAATAGTTGTTTTAAAGATTCGGGAGCGGGGAACCCACATCTGTTAAAATAAGTAAGTGAGGTCTTGTTAGCCAAATCAGGGTCTTTCTCACAATAATTTTTATTGGAAATAGAAATCAAAGTCTGTACTGTCAAAAAAAAACCTTTGTCTTTTTCCTCCATTCATTGTGATGCCTCTTGATTTAATATGACACTGCACCATCCCTCGTGTGAAGATCAAAGAATAGCAAAGAATGAAAAATCCTAAGGTAGGAAGTTCACATTATTTTCCTTGCAAACTGTTTGCCTGCATAAAAATTTTGTTGTTTTTGGTTCGTGAGATTGCTAAATTTTATTCCAGCACATTCATCTCCAGAACCACCACAGGAAAATTTGACTAACGAAGAAGTCTCAAAAGCAACTGCTCCAGCTAATTCCAATGTTTTCGACAGCGAGAGCCAGCTGTTCTCCATAAGAGACTTGTCTCTGGCCATGTCTCTATTCCTGTATACAAGACTCATGGGAAGCGATTGGCTGAAGCATGCCAGTGTAACCCTTTATTTATTTATAATGGGACTGGCAAACACATCCAAAGCAAACTTTTCCTTGGAAAGTTCCAGGGGCACAGTCATTCGCCATTTGTCAAAGACAGGCGGGTGAGTGTTGTGGCTAAGTGTTCAGAGGCTGGGATCAGATAGATCTACCTAAGCTGTGTGACTTTATGCAAGTTACTAAGTCTTTGATCTCCAGTTTTATCATCTCTAACATGAGGATAATACGAGTATCTAACACAGCATTGTCTTGAGAATTAAATAAGGTAGTGGGCATAAAGATTTTAGCATAGTTTCAGGCTCAAGTGCTCACTAAATGTTAACTATTACTACTCAATTTATCTTAAATATTTCCTTTTGCTCTTATGAGTTGAAAACTGTAAAGACAGCAAAAAACTATAATAACATTGGAAGATACTTGCCTCCATGTTTTCAGAGATGAAGATAACCAATCTGTTCTTCTTTAAAATATAAAATATTAGAAATCCAAGGTTTTAATCCCAAGAGCCGTTAGATGTAGTGTGGGATTTTAATTTAGGAGGTAACATAAGACTTGTTCTAGGATTACCCTAATGGAACACAACAGTTGTTTACTTTTACACAACAGTTGTTTACAGTTCCTGGGGAGCATCAGGCAGGGCCTGCAGCTGAGGGAGAATGAGTGCCGAGCAGCTGGGGCTGGCCACACAAGTCCATTTTGCCTAGCTAACAGGTTGACCAGATATCCTCTCCCCCAAATGATGTAAAAGAAATTACAAATGCATACATGCACTCTTGAAAATTATCCTGTGGACACAGGAAAAAAAATAAGATTCCCCTTGCCCTTATTTTAAGAGAAAAATATCCTTCCCCTTTCCTTTTTGTGAGACAGATACTTCAGGAACATTAAGTAGGGAAAATGGGTGGTGAGATAAAACAAACTTTTATTTCCTTGGCCAATGAGCTTTGAGTAATTGGAATTTGGGGGAAAGAGTTAAAACGGAAAGTAAGTAAAAACGAAAGCCTCCTCTGCCTTCCTTTTTTACCCTGCGCATTCACAGCAGCTGGTAGGGTGGCCAAGGCAGGACGAGTGCTGGGCAGTGATGGGGGAGTCCTGGTCTCAGGTGGTGCATTGAGGGTCACAGAGGCTACGGCCTGCAAACGGAAGGAGCAGGCCATGTAACAGTGTGGGGCATTGCTAATTAGTGGCAAATTTGGCTGGTGTCTGCCTGTGAGAATCTTGAGCTGACTCTGGCCCCATCTGCTCTGAAAATAATGATGCACAAATTTTACGCAAATGCTTTTCTTTCGCAGGGAACTCCTATTTGGTCTTTCACTGGAAAACGAACTATGAAGATTTTTATTCTCGTCGTTGCAACTATTTTTTTGTTTTCATGTGCAGCGGATGTTCCTCCATGATGTTTTTGTCTTGGGGCTGGTTAAAAAGCCCACCAATTTGAGGAGAGGTCTCCATTTTCTTTGTTAAGCTGATTCTCCCTCAAAACCTAAATCTGCGGAAAATATTTTAGAAAAGGAGATTTACACTTAGCCCTGCAGAGTCCAATAGCTTCCCTGTATTCCATCTGCCTCTGTTCATCTTTTACTGCTGTACAGGAGCCATGCCTCCAAAAGCTGATTTACTGGGAACCGACCTTAGAGAAAATGTCGGGAGACCCTCGCTATTCCTACAGTGGTTTCTGACATGGGAACTCATTTCCTCTCGTTCCTGGGTGGGTGTGTGTGTTTATTTATTTTTTAGTCAGACAGCAACTGCTCACCTTTTCCCATTTAATCACAGTTATCTGGGATCAAAAAACAGGAAAAAGTAAAACAGGAAAACAGACACACAAAAAACAACAGCATGCAACTTTTCTCAGATCCCATGTATGGATTCCAAAAAATAACTGAGTAAAGCAAAGGCACTGATCTTTATAGTTGATTTATAATGTTTTGTTAATTTCTACTATACAGCATGATGTTTTTCATTTTTCCTCCCTTTTCCTAAAAGGCTGAGCAGAGAAGTATCCAATCCCTTTATGTGTGTATGTATATATTTTTGATTATTCTTGTGTCACCTACTCTCTTTCTGGCTTTTCTTGGAGCTCTCATGCATAATTCTCATTAGCTGAGAGCTCCTAATAATGCCCAGCAACTCATTTTCGGCAACATTAAAAATGAAAAATCCAGTAAGAATGCAAGAGTCTTGTACCACTTGCAGCAAATAACTATTTCTTTGTTAATTATGTTGTTTTGGTCTTATTGCTCTGAGAAGGATTTTGCTTGCACATCCATCCACTATGTAGCCCAGCATAATGAAAACTCTGCAAGAACCTCTGCTGATGGATGCACCTTTGAGTTTACAAAGATTAATGATTTTAAAATTGACTCTGCAGACCACTAGCAATGAAATTGACCATATCCAATTTTGAAAGCCCTAAGACCTGAGAGAAACTGCATATTAACAGTGAAAAGGTAGCACGTTTCTGGAGATGTGAAGCCCAAGCTGGTATTGGTCCAGTGAAGTGTTGCAGAATGCAGCAGTTTAGGTTAATATTGTCGTACTAGGTCAGAGGTCAACCTGGACATGAAACGTGTGGGCAGCCTTAGGAGACAGTCATTTGCAACTCCTAAAGAACTAGTGACAGGACAGTGACCATATGATTAGACTAGTTACAGTGATTAGTTATTACGTCCTACTGGCATGAGATACGAATGAAAAGAAGGAAGTAGTTGAGGTTATTATCTTGCTTCTATTGAAGTAATAATAATGGTGACCATAATACTAGCTAATATTTATTGAGTGTCTGCTATGTTCCAGGCACGAGGCTTAGCATTTAGTACACATTATTTTATTTAGTTCTCACCAGAACCTTGGGTGGTACATGCTGTTATTATTGCCCACATTTTACAATGGAAGAAACTAAAACTTAAGAAGGCTAAGTAACTTGCTTGGTTTAATCCGCTGTCAAGTAATGGATGTAAGAGTTGAACCTCCATCTATTTGATTCCAAAGTAAAAGCACTCAGTCACTGTCTTTTACTGCCTCTTGATAGAACACTGCTGCTCTATTGTGTAGGGTCACATGACCGGGAAGGGGGAGCCAAGATGGCTGCTATGACCAAAGCTTTGGTCACTTGAAGGTCTTTTAAATAACATCTCCAGCTTCTTGCGAGAAACGCTTTGTTTAACAACCAACTTAAATTCCTTATGCTGTCCTTTCAAACTCTTAGCTGTCATTTCCTTCCCCTGTACAATTAGGAACTCAAACAATGGGGTTCTCTACCTTCTTCATAGAAAATAGAAGCAAAGATAAGTTTTATGGCCTCTATACTTCCTTAGTTAGCATCCCCAAGCTCCCATCCAACTCTCAAGGACACCCTTCCCGTTGAAACATTTGGGCACCTTCCTGGTCGAGGTATGTAACCTGTGGCCCTCAACCAAATGACTGTCAATGCTAAGGTGCAAATCCCTGCAAAGTAATGTGTGTAGGAGTAGGACGTAAATCACTTACTGTTCTCATGTAAATCAATTTCCCCTTCAAATATTACAACACAGGATTTGTGATTCAACTTGTAATTCAAGTGTTTTCTCAAGTACAGTTTCTCCTAGTCGTCATGAGTTAAAGGGGAAAATGCTATTTTGAAGACTTACTTCTGTGAGATCTAAAACTTTTTATGCTCTCCTGTTTCTCTTCTCTTCTCTCCCCACTCCCGATCCCATTTAGCATTTCTCAATGGCTCTGTTCTCAGCAATACCACGTTTAAATTGAACACGTGCTTTTCAGTAACAAAAGCTAAAGAGTGGTGTTAGTACTGGATTGATTTTCAATTTCTTTTCAAGAAAAACTAAGAAAGCTTGGCTCAAAATAAGGGCAATCAGAATAGAGCATTCTGCCTATTTCTCTCTCAACACTCAGTGCTTGGTTTGGGTGCTTTATCTTATCGCTCTGTGAATCTTAAGACTTGTTTTGGACTCTAGTCTCACCTGTACTACCCCTTGGACTTAGCAGTCTCAGTCGTGGCCAGTCTCCAGGTGAATTCTATTTATGCGATATAACATCAGAAAAACAAAAGTCATTTGTCATTTCAAGCACTAGAAAAGTGTGCCATGTCACTCAACTGTAACCCTCTCTTTTCTGTACTTCTCCCCCAGTCCATTAAGTTTCAGGGCAGCTAGAATACCCAGGACTAAGTGTTCACTATAAATGAAGCTCCCTCAAGTCCAGAGAAAATAAAATAGAACAGACAAATGAGTTCTTCAGTCTTTACTTGATAGCTTTATCGGTTACAAGAGCCAGATGAAACTGCAGGTTTGCATTTCCATCTCATGGAAGGTGGCATAATTTTTTTTGCAGTCACGTCACAGTTCATCTAAATCTGAATATGTGAGACATAAGAATCTCAAGTTGGATTTTCTGACTTATTTCTATAGCAACTGGAGTACAGTGCTATATACAGGGAGCAACTCTTTAAATGTGTGCCAACTTCAGCACCTCTCAGCCTTACAAAGATGCTGGAACGTTTAAGAAGATCCAAAGGGAGGTAGGTGAGAATGATGAGCACGAGAAGGCAAAAGTGATAGGCTGTTGCTGATATCTTAGCTGCCTGGAGCCTCTGTAAGTTACGAGAGTGTGAGCTGATATCAGCTACGGATTGCTATGGAAAATTTAAGGGGGATTCCAGTGAATCCACCAGAAATAGAACATTTCTGAGACATATTAAAATATGTAGCTGGAAGCATAACTGCTATTGAAAATTAAAGGATGAAGAACCGTGACCAAAATTTGATAATATCATTTAGTTCAAAAATATTAAAATATGCACAGATGACTATCAATAGCACCGCTAAAATGTTTGTTCACGAATTATAGAAGGGCTAGGATGGGGTATCGGTTAAGCCTGGACAAAGGAACATGGAAAGGGAAGTAGCAAAACCACACAAAAAAATGTGTTTTTATATCTTATGGTACTTCAGCCTTGCCACCTTCCTTTTTCCCTCTGAGTCAGTCACGGTTTGAAAGCTGGGACTTAGAGGTCTTGAGCTCTGGAGACAAAGTAGCAGAGAGAAGAAGTAGAAGGAAGGAGCGAAGAGTTTTCACTAATCAAATATGCATTTGGAACCATAGGCTCCTCTTAAAACCAACAACAATCATTCCTTAGGGAAAGTGGCAGAGTGGAAAGGCACAGAAGTAACCGTTTGAGTCCTGGCTCTGTAACCAGGGCAAGGAACTGAACCGTTCTGAACTGTAGGCTCTTCATCAATCAGGGCGAGATCAGGCATCTACTCTCCCCTCCTTGGGAAGATTCACTGGAATAAGGGCTGGGAAGGTACTGCATGCTCAGCAGGCCCCTGGGATTGTGGTGGCTGGGTTTACTGGGTAGTCTCATTTCCTGGGGCTGCCATAAAAAATGATCACAAACTGGGTGGCTTCAAAAACAGAAATTTATTTTCTCACAGTTCTGGAGGCCAGAAATCCAAAATGGACGTGTCAGCAGGCCAGGCTCTCCTCCAAAGGCCCTGGGGGAGAATCCTTCCTCGCCTCTTCCAGCTTCTGATGGCTCTAGCCATGTGGCTTGGCTGCATTGCTGCAATCTGTCTTCACATGTTATGCTCTTTTGTGTTTCTGTCTTCTCCTCTTCTTGTAAGGACACTTAGCATTTGCTTCAGGGCTCACTCAGTTAATCCAGGATGATTTCGTCTCAAGATCTTTCACTTAATTACATCTGCAAAGACCCTTTTTCCAAATAAGGTCACATGCAGAGGTACTGGGGGTTAGGACTTGGACATATCTTTTGGGGGGGCCACAATTCAACCCACTGCACTGGATTTCCAAGTCCGAAGACTTGTTGGTCATTCGTAGCTCACTGTGAATTAGACAAACCAAACAACAGCTGTATGTAAAGTGATGAGAGTGTTGCTCTGTTGAGAATTGAAGGAGAGCTGTTTTGGAACCAGGGTCATTTTGGAAGAGGGAAGACGAGAGTGGGGTTGCACTGGTGGTGCTGGTGATAGAGTCAGGGACACTGTCCTGGCATTGAGGGAGGGGCATAGCAGGAGCAAAGGGGATGGGAAGTTAAAGACAAACATCACCCTCCTTACCTTCCTTCCCAGGGCCCTGGTGGTTGCTTCTGTGCTGCTCTGGAACACCTCTGCCACTTGGATCTTAGGTCTGGCCTGTTACATAAATGTGAAGTGAGATACCTTGGTCTCCCTAAAGAACAAGCGTGCCTTTGAATCAGGTAGCCAACCCCTGTGGCAGCTGGAATGATGGTGCACGTACATTAATAAACTCTCAAGGGAGTTCCTCATTGTGATGCGCAGAAAGCAAGGGTGGATCTGGATTCCAGCCTGTGGGAGGATGCTCTCTGTTAGCCCCTCACACCCACTGCCTAATCCTGCTGGGAGCTGCAGTGAACACATAGCATCTCTTAAACCAGTAATTCCTTTCTTAAAAAAAATTTAT